GGATACCGCTTCCCGCTGGGTCGAATTATTTCCCTTTACCCAAGCCACCGCCGAAAAACGCGCCTGGACACTAGTGGACGAAGTGATACTTCGCTATGGATGCCCCAAACGTATATTCTCCGATAACGGACCCCAGTTCATCAGCGAGGTGATGTAAATAATCACATTCTGTTTAGGAATCAAACAGGATCTTACTCCCGTATATTATCCAGCCGCCAATCCTGTAGAACGAAAAAATAGAGAGCTGAAAACCGAGTTGGCCATTCAAGTAGAGAAATATCACTCCACCTGGTCAGAGAGACTCCCATCTATCCGATTTGCTATGAATTCAGCCAGTTGCATAACCACGGGATACTCTCCAGCATACTTGACGTTCGGTCGAGAATTACGTACAGCAGAAGAAGTCACAAAAGATTTACGCAGTATCATTCAGGCCGAAAACTTTATCCCAGAAATCACTCCTAGACTGCTACGACTAGCCGAGACTATCCAGACAGCTCGAGACCATGAACTTCACCAGGACCAGCAGAAAGAACGAATACACAAGAATAGAAACCCTGTTCCAGATTACTCACCAGGAGATCAAGTTCTGGTAAAAACCCATTTTCTTAGTGATCGAGTTACCCGAATCTCCTCAAAGCTAGCACCACGCCGAGAAGGACCTTACACTATTATTCGAAAGATATGACCTACTAGCTACGAGATTGGAGACTCACGAAACAATCCCATTGAATCTCTAGGGAAGTACCACGCTTCAGATCTGCGACCTATCCAAGGACCAGCAGATGCCACGTCAGAGCCAATTCAACCCATCCGTAAGAAAGGACGACCACTAAAAGCAAAACCTATCAAATCCTGAAACCCCAAGCGTACCGCCTTGCAGTTTCAGAGGGGGAGATTGTAACGACGCATCATTATAGTAATCCCAGCCCCTGATAGACAGAAAAGATTGATTTCGGCCTGCGAGGCCGGCCCCCCAACCGTTAGGCATAGGGCTTGATTTACCCGGTATCTAGCGAAATCACTGTCAAGGGAACCCATCCCAACTCCGCACTCCAAAAATGAGCGGGGAGAAGACCGTTGTACCCTGATTTTATTACCCAAAAACATACATACAAGTTTTATTTATTACATAAATTTTTGTTACATTTTGGTTTAAGTATACCATTATTGTTCCAACAGAGTATAAATTATAGTTAAATGAGATAAAAATAGATAAATTAATATAAATAAAGATTCTCAAGCAAAAGTAAGAGTAGGTAGGTTAAGTCAAAAAGAGTAAATTAAATGATTTTCCAGAGTAAAAATACTAAATGAACATGAGATTTTTCTTATATCTAAGTTATACATTTTTTGTTACCCTTTGTCTACATATGGGTTTTGTGACTATGGCGTCTAGGTTCACAAAACTGTAGTTATATGTATATTTATGTTTACGTCCCCGGTTCGTCATCTTGTAGTAATTTGTCTGCCCATTCGTTTGTCCATTTCATTATTGTGTTGTCCGTTGTGTCTAGGTCTTGAGGTAAGTAATTGAGTCCTTTTTCCGTCAGTCTTTGTCTGAATCGTGACCTAGCTGTTTGTCTGTCATGTCCGTTGCAGTCGTAAATTATGTGTCGTGTGTCTTCGTTTTGTCCGTCTATGTCACAGGTGCCGTCAGTGTCTTGTAGGTGGAATCTGTTCAGATATGCTTTCATGTTCCCGTGTCCTGTAAGGAGTTGAACTGTTTTCCTGTTTATGTGTATGTGTTTGTGTCTTACTGTTTTTATAATGTCGTGTGTTGTACGTCCTGTTGTCCATGTGTCTTGCCAAAGTGTCATTGTTTTGTCGTGTTTTTTCTTTCTTATGTCTGTTTTGTCTTGGTATTGTATTGTTTGTGTGTGCTCGTTGTGTGCCTCGTTTGTGTGCTTTTTTTATTCCTTCTGTTGATCTGTGTGCGAAACCGAATGTTATGTTAATGTTATGTTGTTTAGCGAAGTGTGTTAGTCTTTGTATTTCTATTATGAGTTTATGTCTGGTGTTGGTTTTGTCTAACGAGGCTATTGTTGTTGTTGAGTCTATGAGTATTTGTATATTTTGGTTTGTGTATTGTACGTGGTTGTTTGTTATGTATTTTACGGCTTGTGTCACCCCTATTGTCTCCAGGGTATTTATGTCTTTGTTAGTCTCCACTTTTATTTTGATGCCTGTGTGCGTATTGTTGTTGTTGTTTTGTATTGAGATTCCCACTGATTTGTTGTTGTTTTTGATACTGGCGTCCGTGTGTATAAAGGTGTGTGTCGTGTGTTCTTGTTGTTCTGTGTTGAGTTTCCTGTATGCCGGATGTGGTTTGTCCGTGGTGTTTGTTCTGTTTTGTAGTATGTCCCTGTAAAATGTATTGTATGTGTAGTGATTTGCCCCTGCGTCCGCTGCCAGTGGAGGTACCCCGGCTAGTACCGGCAGTGTCAAGTTGGGCGTCGTTTTATAAGCTTTTGTTATTCTCAGTAGAAAAGGTCGTTCTGTCGCGTGTAGATGTCTTGTTATGCGTGTGTCTTTGTCCCCATAGTTCTGAGCCGTAAAGTATCATTGGTTTTATCCCGTGTTCGTACATGAATCTAAGAATGTCTGGTCTGCGTCCCCATGTTCGTCCTGTTATTGCGTATAATTTGTTTGATATGTCCGTCGTTTTTTGTCTTGTTCGTTTAATGTGTTCGATCCACGTCAGTTTATTGTCTATGGTGAAGCCTAGGTATGTTATATGATTTTGTATTTGTAGTTGTTGTCCGTCTCCTGTTAGTCTGGGTTCTCTTGTCGGTTTGTAAGGTATGAACATAATTTCTGTTTTTGTCATGTTGTACGTTAGTTTGTTGTCTTCTGCCCATTTTTTGCATAGTTCCCATGTCGCGTCCCATTTGTTTTCCAGTTGTTTCAGTGATGTTCCTCCTATAATCAATATTTGGTCGTCTGCGTATGCTTGTGTCATGTCGATGTCTGTTGTGGTTGTCGCTAAGCTGTCGAACCAATCCTCCATTATCAGTAACCAGAGGATTGGCCCTAGGCTTGAGCCCTGTGGACATCCTCGGTCCGTTTTGTCTGTTATGTCTTCTGTTTGTATTTGTCTGTTTCTCAAAAAGTTTATACATGTTTTGGCAAGATTTGTCGGTACGTGTCGTCTTTGTAGTATGTCCGCTATTTTCGGTGTCCAGGCCGTATTAAAGGCGTTTTTCAGGTCTAAAGTGATGACTAGTGAGTGTCTTTTGTCTCTAGTGTTGTTTTTGATTTTGTTTATGACGTTGTATGTCGCGTCTATTGTTGTCCTCCCCTCCCTGAAACCGTATTGTTTGTCATTTAGTCCGTTTGTGCTTTCTAAGTGATATGTCAGTCGTCTTGCTAGGATTTTGTCCAGTATTTTTCCCATCGTCGGTAGTAGGCAGATTGGTCTTTGTCCGTTGTCCTTTTTGGGTAGCCATACCATATCTGCTGCCTTCCAGATGTCGGGAAAAATACCCTGGTCGAGGCAGTCGTTGTATAGTTTGTGTAGTATGTCGCTGTCTATGTCATTTATTATTTGTAGTATTTCTCTGTTTAGTCCGTCTTTGGCTGTGGCTTTGTTTGGTTTCATGTCCGTTAGTGTGTTTATTATTTCTGTCTTGTTTATTGCTGGTTCTGGACCGTGTTCTGCAAAAGTGTACGTTTTTAGTCTGAGTGTATGTTGTTCGTCCGTGTCTTCGTTTTCGTTGTCTGTCGGAAAGTATTTTGTGTGTAGGTATTTGATAGTCTCTGTTCTGTCTTTTGTCCATGTACCGTCTTCCCTCTTAATTGTTGTTAGTATGTTTGGCTGTGTATGCTTACTTTTTATAATTTTATATGCCGTTTCCCATGGGTTGTTTGGGTCGTTTGTGGTAAGGGTGTGTCTGAGTGATTGTCGTTTGCTGTCTTTTATTTTTGTTTTGTATGTTCGTCTTTGTCGGATATATGCATCGTGTTTCATTTGTCTTAGATGTTCGTTTTGTTCTAGTTGATATGTTTTGCGTTTTTTGTTAGTTTCTTGTCTCATTTTGTCCAGGTCCTCTGTCCACCATGCTTGTATTTTTATGACCTTGTTTTCTTTGCGGGTTGTTGTGTTGTTTTTGAGTATTTGTTGTATTTTATTTTGTGTTGATTTTGCATGGCTTTGTATATTACCGTCTGTGTTGGCCCAGTTTGTAATTTCTATTGTTTGTCTAAGTTTAGTTTTGTCTATCTTTTGTATGTTAAAAGTTATCTTGTCTTTTTGTCTGCGTTGGTATGTTGTTTTGTCTGTGTTGTACGTTATGTATTGATGGTCGCTAAGTGTGTCCTCGTCTGAAACCTGCCAGTTTTGTATGTATATGTCTTTTGTGATGGTTAGATCGACCCAGCTTTTGCCTCTGTTTGAGTTAAATGTCGGTGGGCTGTCGTGTGTATTGTTTATTGTCATGTCTTGTTGTACCGCCCATGTCATGATGTCTTCCCCCCTTGTGTCTGTGATTTGTCCCCCCCAGCTGGCGTTCTTTGCGTTCATGTCTCCCCCGATTATGATTTTTGTTGTAATGTTGTTTATCTTTTGTTTATGTCTGTCTAGTCTAATGTTCGTGTCTCCTCCCGGTTCGTCATAGATATTGATTATTGTTATGTTAGTCGTTGTCGTTACTTGTATGGAGATGGTTGTGGTGTTGGAGTCTGTCATGTCTTTGTGTGTAATTGTTTTGTTTGTCCATTTATTGTGTATAAGTATAGGTGCTTTACTGTCTTTGTTGATTATATTGTATATGTGTTGTCCGTTTAGTGTATGTGCGGGTTCTTGTATTAGACCTATGTCAGTTTGCTCAGTGCACATTTTTTTCATTAGTTGGTCTGCTGCCTGAATTCCCCGTCCCATATTAAATTGTATAAATTTCATGTTTTTGTGTTTGTCAATCGGGTTTTGTGTGTGTTTGTTTTGTTGTGTTTGTTTAGGTCTTGTTTTGTTTTGTTAGTTTGTTTGTGGGTTGTACGTCTGTCTATTTGTACGATGTCTGAGCCCGAGCCTCGTCCATTTTTTTGTTATATATAGGGCAATTAGCGTCTCTAGCCTGGTGTCCGCGTGGTGTTAGTCTTAGTCTTTCACAGTTTATACAGTTGTAGATGTCTTTATTGCATGTGTTTCCGTCGTGTCCATCTCCACACCGGTAGCATGTCGGTGTCGTCTCTTTACAATATTTAGACACATGTCCGTATCTGCAACATCTAAAGCAAAGTGCAATTTGCGTGGCCTCATTTATAAAAATGGTCTGAAAGTCTACGTATACTTTTCCTGCTTTTAATAAATGTTTGATGATGTCCGTTGGTCCCCGTATGTAAATGTTCTCTTTGTAAGGGTTACGGCAAGGCCGGGTCGATACGACTGTCAGAAGTTTAAGTCTGTCCCCGAAGTTTTCATTTAAGTCGTCATTTTCCATTTTTAAAGCTTCTGTCAATTCGTCCATTGTCATTTCCTTGCGTAGTCCCGTAAGTATTGCTGTCGGTTCGTTCTGTCTGGTGCCGTCCTTTATGTCTAGTGTTGTTGATTGTTGTGTCCGTCTTAGTATTTCGTTTTGTTTTTCTTTTGTTTGTGATGTTAGTACTATAGCCGTTCTTGTGTGTCTGATTTGTGTGCCTTCCATGTCTTTTGGTTTTATGACCTTTTTAAGCTCGGTTATCGTATTCCCCGTTTCTCCTTCTTTTATTTTTATAACCGTGTCGTATTTTTTTGTTTGTTCTGGGGTTGTCCAGGGTTTTTTTTCTTGCGTGTTTGTTGTTGTGTTTGTCTTTTTTGTCAACTGGGCGTATGTCCTTTGTCCAAGTTGAGGGAAGTCTGTGCTTGTAGTGTGTGTAGGTGGAGTATTTAAGATTGTTTGGTTTGTCATTGTAGGTTGTGATGGTTGTGTTGGTTTTATTGCTTTTATTATTTCGTATTGTAAGTTTTTTAGTCTGTCTTCCGAGGTGTCCGTTGTTTGTCTGTTGATTTTTAGTGCTATGTTTTCTTGTTGTAATTTGTTGATTTCGATTTCTTGTAAGAGTAATTGTGTTATTAAGTCCGAGTAGAGAGTTGTTATTTCGTCGAGTCCGTTTAAGACGGTTTTTTGTTCTTTTGTTGCAAACGCGATTTTCCCCCTCCCTTCCGGAGTTGTCCTTGTAACCGCTTCTTTCATATGTTTTCTCAGTTCCTTCATTCTGTCGTTTGTTGTCTGTATTGTCATTTGTGTTTTTGTAAAGTCTCGTCCCCCTTGTGTTTCAACTGTGTTCTGCGAACCTGACGCCATACTCACCTGAGATATGTTTGGTATAATTTGCGCCGCACTACCCGGCACTAGCCCGACACTCGCGGAACTCGCACCTTTGTTGATGTTTTCTTGGTCAGCCTTTTTCTTCTTTTCTTTTTCTGTTTTCTCCTGCCTTTCTTTTTCTATTTTTTCTTTTTTCTCTTTTTCGGTTTTATCCTGATGTACTTTTTCTTTTCTTTTTTCTTCTTGTTCCTGTTCTTTTCTCAGCATTGCTTCTATAACTTTAGCTTTTTTTGCCATTTCTTCTTGGTCCTTGGTCATTTTTATCTTTGCTGTTTTTAGCTCCCTGGCTTCTGGGCTTTCGCTTTCTGAGTCCCTATTTCTTTTTCTATCCCTGTCCGGTGAGCCCTCTGACGTTTGGATTGTCACCGGATCTGAGATCGAGAAACTTCTAAATTTCGGCGGTGTCCTTTTAAGACTGTCCCGTCTGGGGATATTTGCTGCGCCTTCGAGGTTCTTGATTTCCTGTTCCAGCTTTTTTATATGGTCGTCCTCCGACGAGTCGAAGGGGTCACCCGTAGTTTCGTCCGTATTCATTTCGCTCTAGGTTCGATTTTAGGAAAGTTAGTAGAAATCGTAGCCGGATAAAAAAAGTAAAGAGAAAAAGGCTGATTCTTGAAGTCAAGAATCAGTCTTATGAAACTAAGTTTTTCGCACTGGTGTACGCGAGTTTTAGGAAAGTATGTAGAATTGTATTACGTAGAAAAAAAGGACTGATTCTTGGTGGTCAAGAATCAGTCCCGAAAAACTGTGTGCGTCCGCACTTGCACAGCGAAACCCGAACTGCCAGGTGAAATAGTTTCGCAGCCTAGTCCCGGACACTTGCACCGTTTTTTGTTTCGTTCAAAATTAAATAAAAGAGAGTTCGTTACTTGATGACCAAGAAAGCGACTCCAAAAATTTGTTGAGAGTTTTGTCCGTTGAACCGTCCGCGCCGCAGAACCTGCGAGAACCTCGACGCTTTCAATTTACGGACACTTAACCCAACTTATTTTTAAATTAGTTCGAAATTTGAAACGTGAATAACTAAACCGAATGACACTCGTCGGCACTTGTCGTTGGGCACTGGCGCAACACGATATCCTTGTTTAAGCGTATTCGCGCAGGTTTGGGGCCCTCACCTGCCGTCACTTTAACACGTGAATATTTTCGCGCTTGCGCGTCGCCGATTTCTGTAGCACCGGAGCCCTAGAGCTCTTTTAGAATTCACTAGTTTCCTGCAGCGTTAACCTCACTTTCGACACAATGCTTAAACACGTCTGCTCTGTCGGCCGTACAAAGCTGAAGCCCCTGATAGACAGGCCACCAATACCACTCAGACTCTCAAACCCACGCAGCCGAGGAGCTTTCAGCCAACGAGCTTCTAGCCGCCCTCGCCCGATGGCGACAGTTACGCGCCTCACTCAGTTCGATAACCCACGAATATAAGTCGAGGTGTGGGAAAATTAAATTATGTTTTACTTAAAAATAAAATATTTCGTAGTTGGTGTTCCTAAATTTTTTTTATGTTAAAGGATCCAACGGTTAACCCGGAGGAGCCTTTTAAAAAAGTAAGTATGAAAGTGGCTGTATAATAAATTTTAATTTCTATTGTTTTTATTTGTAGATCACTTTGTACAATAAGCATCAAAAAGAAATTAGAGAAAACGGGAATTTTATTGCGGCTTTTAATGTAATGAAGAACACTTATTCAAGTCCTACACTAACTTCAGCTTCAACAAGTACTTGTATAGATTCTACCCCATCTCAGTTTTTGCTCACAAGCTCAGTAAATGTTGGAGAAATTGAAAGCACTGAAAATTTGGGTAAGTATAGCCTCTATTTAAAAAAGTAGCTTTCAGTTTTTAAAATATTTTTTCAACTTCTAATACCTAGTAGAAGATATTTAGTCAAGAAGATACATTTCTCTCCTAGTAGGAGCAAATTTTTCATTATCTCCTAGAAGGAGAGAAAAATAATAACAATTGACCATAGTGACTTTCTTACTCTGAGATAGTGACATTTCAGAGTGCAAATGGCATAAAAACTGTTAATTTATTTTATTGAATTTTTATTCACTGACTACGCGACTCAATTGAATCCTTTCAAATGCAAAAGGAATCCAAAAACTATCGTTGTGAAAATAATTAAATGTTCTAGTAGTGGAAAAAATAATATATAAACTACAGAGATACTTTTTCTGGCTTTGTGTATAATATACAATAATTTTAGACAACACTGAAAATATAAAATTGTGGACCGACAGGAGTATTAAAGACTCAATAAATTTATGTAAAACATATGATAAAGAGTTTTCTGCGGGAGTGAAAAAATATACATGGACAAAAATTGCAAAGGAAATGACTGAACAGTTTAAACAGGTGTACACTATACAACAATGTGACACTAAATGGAAAGGCCTAAAAAATACCTACAAATCTGTTAAAAAATACCTACAAATCTGTTAAAAAACACAACGAGCAATCTGGAAATAACTTTAAGTTCTGGAAGTTTTATGACCCAATGAATGCCATATTATTTGATAAACCAGAAATTAATCCTCTTGTAACTTGCTCCAGTACAAGAGGCAGTTTGGATTCTCAAAATGAAAATGGTTAGTTGAATAAATTATAATTTCAAACCTATGATAAATTAATGATGCTTTTTTACCTAAAATGTATCATTGGTTTGATGTTTATACTTTTATATTGTGTTTCTTATTATTTTATATTGTATTGTTATATTTAATTCTTATAGTGTGTAAGCTATTGTATTGTTCGAGTTAATTGTATATTTGCAGACCCTTGGATAAGTCTTTGACTATATTTATATTTTTTTTGCACACAAGTTGTAACGCTACAACTTTATATGATTTAACGTTTATTTACTTACCTTAGTGATTATAGTATTGTAAAAAAAATGTTTTTTGAGTAAATAAACTATATTATTATGTTACAATTTATACGCACTCAAATTTTAGATATTTCCAATGAAAACCTTGGTAGCCCTACAACCACACCACATAAATATAATTCATAATTTATGAAGAAAAGATAAGCTGCCGAAACTGCTATTGAGAGACGCCACAAAGAAAAAATGGCAAGGCAGGATAGGTATTTATGGATCGCCTAACTAGTACCATTGAAGAGAGTGTCCGTAAACCAATTACATAGGTTATTTTTAATAGTTAGAAAAAGTTTATTTATTTTTAATAGTTAAAGTTTATTTCCCATAGTTTAATTAGTTTAAAACTAATAAGTAGGCAATATAGTATTTTTTTATATAAAATAATTTTCATTTGTTTTTCCATATTTTCCAGTATTAATATGTGATATTGATTTTGTTTTTGTTGTTTTAGATTAAATAAAATAATTGTATTGATCTTCATAATTTTTATTTAACTAACGGTAACAATATACCTACATATTTCATAAACACCTTATTGGTAAAAAACTGGCTAGTTAACCTTTATGTGACTGGAAAAAAACACCTTCTTATGACGGCGGGGGTACCTGGGTACCCCTGCCTATTTTCGTATTTGATTTGGCAACTGCGCAGCGACATTAATCAAATCGATCGCTTGCGGACTAGTATTTACAGGTTAGTTGTATGTTTTACTTCATTGAGTAAACAAGTGTGGGTGACTTAGCAATTTTGTTATTTGTTTTCGTAAAATGTCTGATAGCGAAGCTGGTCCAAGTTACATAATTGCGAAACCAAGGTCGCGAAAACAAAGGTAAGAGATGAAACAATAATTTGTTATTTTTAGTGTACAAATAATAAAAATTGTCCTATGTAATATCACAAAATTTGTTTTGATTAACGCATCTCTCGACGCACCTGGAAATAATTAAAATTTTGTCGCTGTAAAAATCCCTAGAGAATTTTGTCCAGGTAGTAGTTTTGCCAGTAGAAAACAGGCCGATGCTATGATATTTTGCAACTATAAAACACTCTAATGAAATAGTCATATTAAAATTTGCTTGATGTTGCGTATTTTGGCAGGAGCCGCAGTCGCGTAATATTAATAGTAATAATAATTATTACAATAATCATAATGGTGATCGGAAACTTATTATTGCAGGCTGTCTTCTGCAGAGTTACTAGAGGCAGTAGAACAGTCATCAGATGAAGAGCCATTTGTTGCTTCAGATGAAGAGGAATATATTCCAGAGGTATCAGGTGGCGACTCCGAAGAATCTGATATCGAAAAGGAGCCTGTAGTGGAGCAAGGAGATTCTGAATCCGATGATACCGCCGACGAAGAAGAAGAAGAAGAAGAAGAAGAAGAAGAGGCGCCTACACAAACATCCTGGGCTGGTAAGGATGGCACTCAGTGGAGTGACGCACCAACAACACAAAGGCAAACATTAGGTCGTAATATTCTCCGCGAAAAAAGCGGCCCACCATCCTTTAGTCGTTCATGGGCCGTATATGACAAATTTTCAAATCTATATTGTCTCCAGAAATGTGTACCTTAATTCTCAGGTATTCTAACCAAAAAGGTGAAAATATAACTAACGAATGTAACCAAAAAATGACAGAAAAATATCAACCTCCCAACAGACCAACCCCGAAAGTATTTATTCCATTCACTGAAATAGAATTAGATGCATTTTTTGGAATTATCATTGCTGCTGGATTACACAGGTCTAACAAGGAACACGCATCTGAAATGTGGAAGCTAGAGTCATTACCTCTATTTCGTGCTGCCATGTCTCGTGATCGGTTTAAAATGTTTCTCAGATTTATTCGCTTTGATAATCAGAACACTCGTGCTGAACGCACCAAAACAGATAAAGCTGCACCAATTCGAGATATTTGGATTATGCTAAATTCAAACTTGGCAAAATCTACAAGCCGAAAGAAAGTATAACTGTGGATGAACAATTGTTTCCTTACAGAGGACACACTCAGTTTACCCAGTACATTCTGTCGAAACCAGCAAAATTTTTTTGGTCAAAATTTTTTTGGTCCAAATTTTTTTGATCCAAATTTTTTTGGTCCAAATTTTTTTGTCCAAATTTTTTTTCGTCAAAATTTTGTTTGGTTAAATTGTTTGGGCTTGCGATTCAACAAATGGTTATCCTTTACAAGGTCAACTGTATACTGGAAAACCGCCAGGTGGTGAACGTCAAATAAATGTCGGCGAGCGTACAGTTTTGGATCTAGTGGCAAAGTATAAGGGATCGGGAAGAAATGTAACAACAGACAACTTTTTTACAACTTTGCAACTGGTTCGTACTTTGAATACATGGAATATGACTTTGGTAGGTACTCTTAAAAAAAATAAAGCATTTTTACCTCCTATTATGCAGCCATCTAAAGATAGACCTATAAATTCAACCATTTTCGCATTCAACAAAGAAGCAACATTATGTTCCTAAGTTCCAAAGAAAAAAAAATCTTTTATCCTTTTATCAACGATGCACACAACAGGTCAAGTGGATGATACTACTGTTGCAAAGCCTGAGATAATAAGATATTATAATAAAACAAAAGGAGGCGTTGACACCATGGATAAGATGCTAAGCGAGTACACAGTAAAACGTAGAACAAATCGGTGGTCATTAGCATTTTTTTTTAACATGATTGACGTTGGTGGTTTGGCTTCTTACTGTATTCACCAGGAACACAATCCAAATTTTAGATCAACTGATCAATGTCGTAGGTTTCTAAAAGACCTTGCCAATGACCTGTGCTTGCCTGCCGTTCAAATTCGTTCCCTTATTCCAAAAGTTGTCGGTAATTATTACACACGTCAGTCACTAGAAATGGTTCTTGGTCGGCAAATGGTCGATCCCATTGTTGCTCCACAAAGGGAAGAACCAAGGCGTGATGCTTCTG